TTTTTTGCATTTTAAACAAAGTTTATTGCCCTTCGACTAGCATGTCAACAATTAAAAAGAAAAGAAAAACTCTGTGGAAAGTATGGTTAGATATGGACTGAAGATATTTGTATTCTCACTTGTGTTCTTTTAGTACAGGAAAAAATAAAGCTGTTAAGTTTGTAATTTCTGATTTTTTTTTCCCTTCAAAAGAAGAAATCACATTGCTGTGATTTTCTTGTCGTTTGTTTGCTTGCTTCCTTGTTTTTCACTATGGAGTATTGTCTTTCTTTCCCCACATCCTGCCATAGTTCTAGTTTCTGGAAAACTCGCTGCATTTGATTTAGACTTAGAAATCCTTTTAAACCACTAATTAGCTTTTAACTAGAAAGAGAAATGTATTGGATAATGTTCATTATTACGGAATCTGGCCTACGTGCTGCCAGTGTTTGGGGTAAACTCTAAAGAAGGTTGGCTGGGTGGTTTGTGAGCTGTCATTTGAATCAGATAATTGTATGTATTTTATATTTGTGCACACACACAGTTGATGTGTAAATTTGCATTTTACAAGCTGTAATTACTGATAAACCTGTGTCTATCACACAGTTTCAGGCTCCACCACAGCACGACCAACAGCCATGTGTGGTGGCTGCTCTTGGCCAGACCAGCACCAGACCTTGTCTGCCACACGGGGTTTTGGCATCCTCTGTGTGGGTCAAGTATTACTGAGTTAAAATCTGACTGGCAGACTTTGGTGCAGTAACCAAGATGCCTTTTTGGTCTCAGAGCAGGATTACATGATGCTGTGAGAAAAAAAAAAAATCCAGCAGTTGAACCCTGTCCCATTTAGGCTGCTTTGCAGAAAGTTTCACAACTATGAGTATAGTTTTGCTTATAGCCCTGGTGATCTGTTTAATTTTTGGCATCTGATGAATTTGCTGTAGAGGAAACCAGCCATATGTTTGTAACATGGACTCTGGTTTGCTTTTGAACTACAACAAGGCTTTTGAACTGCAGGAGTTGCAGTGAAATCTGCTTTTCACAGTCAGTGAAACTGTTTTACTGGGCAGTCTGCTTTCTCTCAGGTTTTTTTTAACGTCTCTTTATTTTAAACCATCATTCTGTTTTTCTAATACCTTTGCCCATCTGTCTCTCTTTAAGTACATTTGTCCTTGTTAGATTTTTTTTCTTTTTTTTCTCAAAGAATAATATTTAAATCACAGGGGGGCCCACCAGCTTCAACCATAACTATCACTCTTGTGATAGTGACTGAAGAGGAAGCAGTTCTGATCCTGAAAGCTTATATGTTAAAACAGAAGAGTGCAAGGTGATCCCAGCACAGTGATTAGACAGGTGACAGCAATTTCACACAAGAGATCTTGGGTGAAGCTGGGACTTGAATCCTAAGGTGATTTTTAAATGTGGTGCATTTAATGTTACAATAGAAAAATGACACGTCTATCTAAGCAACAACAAAAGCTTGAGGTTGTAATATTGATTCCT